CCTGCTGACCATTCTTTAATAGCTCTTTAGAAATTTACTGTCATAGTCGTGGATGCTATCACGAGATTAGTCGAATTTAAAGAACAGTGAGACAACTCTCAAATTCTCCTACATAGTGTTGGTGAGTAAGTTATAGGGATGACTGCGAATTCTGTTTTATGTACATTAGCTTACCATAATAGAGGATTAAATCGATCTTGATTTGGAAGCACGCTTTAAATGTTACAACAATGAATATAAAAAAGTCAGAACAGGGGGGAGGGAGAAATGAAACAAACCAAATTTACACGCTGAGGGTAGTGATGAGCAACACATGGATGAAAACTCACTTGCTAATGCCTCGTTTTCTTTGGGCAGATAAGCGCTTGGTAACCGTCCACAAAAATCTCGTATATCAGTTCTAGCTTCTATATAAAAGCAAATGAATAATACATAATCACGTTGAAACTGTTATCTGTTATTTATTCTTATTCATTATAGATAAAAGTTTGGTACAATAGAACATCTGAAAGCGAATCACAAATTTATATTGAGATTAAAACAAAAGAAAATACTACACTATTTATTATAATAATAAGTAATAAGTTATATATATATAACATTATTAATCTTGAATTAATGATGGATAAAGTTTTCATTCACAATGTATTTATTCGGAACATATTTATAAGAATACAGAGCCAAAATACATTTAAAAGGTTGGTAGCAATTACTAAAGTAATAAATAAGGTGACAGTTTTTTGTCACAGACTGTTTTGTTCGTCAATTCAGTTCAATTACTAATGCATACTTCTCAATTCTTGCCCCATCAATTGCACAAAGTAAGAATATTAAGAGTGTGTAAGTAGCTGTATCACCAAAAGCCCACTGAATACGCACATATATAAATTATTGAACTCATTCAGATAGGGAAATATGGGTATAGACATTAGACAGGTAAATAAGCCTACTGTTCACACTTGGAACTCGACATACCATGTAGCCTCGCAACAACATGTGGTCTGTCTAGGATTTTCCATTATCAGAATGATATCAGATGGAGAACTAAAGAAAACCAATACGTAATGAACAGGTGTTCGCCAATAGTTCCGTTATAGTTTGGAACTTAACAGCGCATATGTCTGTAGCCGCCCACACTATCATATCACATTGAATAAATATTATACAGATTAGTGTAATTCATAAAATAATTTGAAATCATAGCTTTCATTACCACAGTGAAAATTAATTCTTGATAAGGTGAGAAAAAAAGTAGTATTAGACTAAATAATAGCAATTCGACAAATCGTTCCAAACGGTTTATAAATAATTACTGAAAATGATAGTGATAAATGAACAGATGTACTTACTGTACACGGAAGTTAATAAGATTATAACATCTTCATTCCCGTTGGCAGCGGCCAAATGTAAAGGAGTCATACCCTACAATAAATTATATATATTATATTCATTGACAGAAATATATAGTTATATGGATCAGATTAATTGATAAGATTTACTGAGTATATAACTGAGGAACTATAACATAGAACATATTATTAACTGTTTTGCAATTGAAAAATTAATTACCACATACGTAAATAGCACTAATTGTTTATAAAAACTCACCTCCTGTGGAAATGAAAGCAGTAACAGGGAAAGAGAAATGAAAACAGAGAAACACAATTAAGATATTTTACTTTTTAAAAAAACAACAACATATGACTTCAAATATTTTGTTTAGTTATTATAGTTGGATTAATAAAAGTTGGGTAGTTTATACATCGCTCTTGATTACTTTACCGGAGAGGAGTAAATCGTGACATTATCCGTATCGGGACCATGATAGTTTAATATACATGACCTGCTGTTAGATCCTCGGAGTACAATGGAATTAATTTGACCTGTAGTTTGAACAATTTTACGTAATTCCTTTCGGATATGAGTGAAGTTTTTAAGAACGAACATAAACTGCAGCAAACTACTGAGATTCAGGTAGCCCTGATATTTATTTATTATTTATTTGAACACATAAACATTGGTACAAAGAGGCACTAAATATATGTGGGCCACACAAGTCATTTGATTTGTGTGTGGGTTGTGATACTGCCCGGGTGCCCATACCGAAGCCGGGGTAACCCTAAATGGCTATTTCGACATGTACACATCACTACATAATTAATGTTAACCTATGCTACTTTTAGTCTGAATACTGAATACTTGCAGTAATTTAAATCAAATGTACTTGACTAAGCAAACTATTCAACAATTTTCTAGTGTAGTTTTAATACTGAATACTGAATAACTTTCAAAAATAGAATTGGAACAGTAAAACATTCATATTTCAATCTTTGTGTAAGGAGATTTATTGACGCAGAATACTCATCAACAATACTAAAGTATTCAAATATGTTGACATTTTAATTCGAAATCTTTTATTCGATTACATTTTTTTATAATTATTTACCATACTTTACTCTTAGATAATCTATTATTTTATGGGTAAATGTACATACTTTAAATTTTAAATAGGACAAATGAAATCAGAAAAAATGTTGTGTGTAATCACTATTGATCAAAAAGACAGACATCATTAACATGGGCTGATATAAGTTACTATACTACATTAGTACTACGAGATAAAAAATAACATGATGATCTGCAGAAGAGATAAGAATAATGTGATAGCGACGACAATAAGAAAGGCTAAACATTGGGAAAAGTGATAAGACGCCAGAAAATAAAGCCTAGCAGTAAGGTCTGAATTAAATAGAGAACACATGACCTACAAGACAGTTTCCTTTAATCTCCCATAATATTTTATTATGTTCACTTTGTGCTCATATTTCGCATACAAGAATGATATTTTATTACATGAAAAAGTTCATCTGGTTAGAGGTCTTGTCTTCGATTTCTAATTATTCGGAGGCCTAAGTCAATTTTATTGGCCAGACACTATCAGCAACAGTCTACTGTGGAAGAGAACAAACCAGATCCCAGCGGAGGAAGAAGCGCTGGGAATGGATGGGACACACATTAAGGAAAGCACATAACTGTCACAAGGCAAGCCCTCACATGGAATCATCAAGGCCAAAGGAGAAGAGGAAGACCATAGAACACATTACGACGAGAAATGGAGACAGACATGAGAAGAATGAACAACAACTGGATAGAACTAGAAAGAAAGGCCCACGACAGAGTAGGTTGGAGAATGCTGGTCGGCAGCCTAGGTTCCATTGGGGGTAACAGGCGTAAGGAAGTCAATGATATGGGTTTATAAGTACCCATCGCTGGATCATATTACGTCATTGCGTTTAACTACTGATTATCATTCTACTCATCAATTTCGGTAGTTGAGAATTCCCTCACTAAAAGCTACCTTCATAGCAAAATTACAGAGTGGAAAGGTATGTGTGGAGGAATACTAGAGTTCAAAATCGAAAGGAAGATAAATATTGAACGAATCTAGACCATTATGAACTGACCGAGCTAATCACACGGACCTCAACCAGGTCCTTAAACATGTCATAATCATCTCAGTTGATGTAGGTTTGAGATCTAATCAACCGATTTGCCTATCTTGCCTAGTACCCTATGTCCAACTTGAATATTTCTAAACTGCTCGCTCCACAATACGTGAGCAATGTTTTGAAGATACTTATGATAGAAACCTGTAGCTCAATTTGTCTTCGTAAACCATGTTTCACAACAATAAAGTAGTACATATAAGACTGCTGCTCAGTACACACGCCTATAGGTTTGCAGACAGAAATTGCGTCTACGCCAAAAGTGACTCAAGTAGGCAAACGCCAACTGATCTTTCTAAATTAATGGGGAGACTTCGTCAGATATCAGCCTTTACTAGATAAGTAATGTCAATTTACTCAATAACTTTACTCTCTATCACTAGTTCAGCTGTTGATACAGACCAGTTTTGAAGCAAAATCTCGCATTTATAGGGGAAAAAACTCATCTCAAATATCCTTGTATCATTGCTCTTGGTGATCAAAAGACTATATTTTGTCAGCGTCTTCACCAAATACGACTATATCATCTGCATTTCATTATTCACAATAGAATTAAACGTATGCAAGCAATGTATAAAACTGACACATGTCTGAGCATCAACTTGAACATGATAATTTCCAAGTAACAATCGGATAGCAGCACAATCTCCATATTTAGCTGCATAATGTAGTGCAGTCTGTAGGTCGAAAAAAAATGCAAACATGGCTTATCCATTAAAAAGTAAAAATAGTTCCTCAAAAGTAAATTAAACATGGTTGATAAAATATAGTTGAATATTTTACTGAAATAATCCTTAGCAAAGTTCCAGTAGATATACAGACGATCCAGCTAACATTTAGCAACGACTAAGGTTTGCTGTACCGGTCAGATACCTACCTAACAATTCACAGTCCCGTGCATGTGGTATAGGTGCAATATTCTTAATTTATGACTATAAGGTATCAATAATAAAGACATCAGACATAAGGTGATTTCGGATATTTAATAAAACATGCTTCTGAAATGTTCTTTAAGTATAGTTAAAAGTATATTTATTTACAAGGCTGTAAACAAGCATCGACAAAAATCTAACGCGTTAGTAGGTACCATACAACGAAGGTTGGTTGTTACAGAGTAAAAGTAGCCTGATATTCAACAAACAGACAAATGACAATAAGTTATAAAATATTGAGGTTTAACCGAAAATGTGTAAGGAATACAATAGAATCGTTGATGTCAGAAGACAACAAGAAAGACACCTACTTAATTACACCTGGCACCTTCATGGAGGAGCATAGGCCGCCAACCAGCACACTCCATCCAACTCTATCATGAGCAATCCTTTCCAGTTCTCTCCACTTGTTGTTCATCATTTTCATATCTCCCGACGTAATGTGCTCCTTGGCCTTCCACTTTGTCGCTTCCCTTCACGATTACAAGTTAGCGCTTGCCTCGTGATGCAGTTTGGTGATTTCCTCAGTGTATGTCCTATCCACTTCCAACATCTTTTCACAATTTCCTCCTCAACTGGAAGCTGGTTTTTCCTCTGCCACAGAAGGCTGTTGCTGATGATATCCGGTCAGTGAATGTTGAGTATCATGCGTAGACAACTGTTGATAAATACTTGTACCTTTTTGATGATGGTTGTAGTAGTTCTCCACATTTCATCTCTGTACAGTAGGACTGTCTTGACGTTCGTATTAAAGATTCTGACTTTGAAATCAGTTGACAGCTGTTTTGAGTTCTATATGTTATTCAATTGTAAGAAAGCCGCCCTTGCTTTGTCAATCCTCGCCTTTACGTCTGCATCCGATCCTCCTTGTTCATCGATGATGCTTCCCAGGTACGTTAAAGATTCCACATCATCCAGAGTTTCACCATCAAGTGTGATTGGGTTGGTGTTCTCCGTGTTTTATTTGAGGATATTGCTGTTTCCTTGGTGTATGTTGAGGCCTACTGATGAAGAGGCTGCTGCTACACTGGTTGTCTTGAGCTGTATTTGTTGATGTGCATGCGATACAAGGGCCAGGTCAACTGTGAAACTCAAATCATCCAGTTGCATTCAAACTGTCTACTGTATTCTGTACTTTCTCTCCCAGATGTCTAAGTCTTCATAATCCAGTCAACCAACAGAAGAAAGAGGAAGGGGGAGAGTAGACAGCCTCGTCTGACTCCGGTCCTCACTTGGAACGCATCTGTCACCTGTCCTCCATGCGCTACTTTGCACTGTAGTCCGTTGTATGAGTTCCAGATAATGTTGACAATCTTCTCAGGAACTTCATAGTGTCGAAGAAGTTTCCATAATGTTCTATTCACAGTGTCAAACGCTTTCTCATAGTCAATGAAGTTGATGTATAGTGACGGGTTCCACTTAACTGATTGCTAAAAAATGATCCGTTGTGTCACAATTCGGTCTGTGCACACCAAGAAAGACACAGCGACCACCAATCTTAGAATCCGGTTTTCTTTACGTAAATATTTTCCTCATGGCTTTTTGTATTTTTCTACTGAGTCATTCTAACGGTTTTTGCACTTCTGGGCTTCTTTGTCCTTTTTTAATGTGGCGACCTGGTTTAATAGCCTTACATCCCAAACTCAACATTGCTTGAGTCGATTAATGTTATATCCTCTACTTGATTACGGCACAAAACTATCGCCACTCAAACATGTAGAACCGCAGTCGCAAATCGAAAAACGGGAAAAGCTGGGGAAGCGATTATTGGGTAAGAGTCAAAAATGTACAGAAAAACAAGGGTATTTATAGTTTGCAGTATAGGCTATAACATTATTATAATCCAGTCAATACCCAAGTAGGAAAGCTACACAATTGTCTGATCACAGCATATGACGTTGATATTCTAGGTTTTATCAGGTCTTGATTGGTTGGGATCTCTTTGGTTCTTCTAGAGCCTATGAAAGCTTCTTCATGCTTTTTTTGGAGCAGTCCCAACAGTTAAACTATCCAAATAAAAGCGTATTAGAACCGATGTATAAGCTGTGTATATTTTTTTACCTCCCAACAAAGACTCGGTGAATTGAATAACCAACCACTACGATAAAGTAGTAAATTAGAGAAATATAAATTTCTCAAATCTGAAGTGAAAACTTACATACACAATAGAATAAGTCGATTCGTAAATAAAAGGATACATAAATAAATACTCCCACAACATTACTAAATAACTAGTGCATAACAACATAATATACATCATCAAGGAACATATGCGAATATCAATACTTACATACTGTTTTTTAATCGAATTTTCCATATTCACCATAGATTGAAAACAGTATTCAAACAAAGATAGGAGGAAAAACAAATATGTTATTAGTGAGAATAAAAAAATTGAATGTTGTACGATTACTAGAAGACATGATGGGATTAATTAGTTCTTAATATCAAATGACAACATATAGGAACTAAAACAAATTGTAGTGTTATAACATTTTGTATGCGACAGGAAACGTATCTATTTATAAGATTAACAAGTAATCAAGGTTTTAAGAAAGAGGTAATATATTAAAAAACTGTCAAAGTATTGTCATTATAGGAAAAGATATGAACATCTCAATAAACATCCATTCAATGAGTGGCGTTAAAATAAAGTATGTTAATGTATTCACCAATTCTGATTATGTAACTTTAAAAATAGTTAATGAAACAGACAAATTGTGATCGAATATAAATTAATAACCGAGTACAGGTCTAAGTACTTGGCTCACCAAAACACACATATTATGTAAAGCGTTAGTGACATTATGTGTTATATTGAAGCATAACTGATATATATATATATACATAGTTTGATGGTATTGAGTTTTTCGAACTAGATGGTTTAACCGCGGAGCTTGTTATATATTCTGACGAGCCAAGAAAAACTCTCGATTACAACCGAACTTAGATGCACTGTTCGTGTGAATCCAGTACCACTTAACACTGATTAGTCAATAATATACAGTATGGGCATAATTTACAAATATAGTGAGATCAAAATTCTACAACTAACATGAAAATTGAGTTACAAATCGATCATATTTCTAACCATTTGGTTTCAATGAGAGTGAATTGAGTTAGACAGAGATATATCTAACCCTGTAAACTGAGTTAAGTGACAAGTGTATCAAATATAATAATTTACTAGTCCATAAAATAAGGTATGAGATATAAACCAAGGTTAAAATGATAACTAATTCTAACTACTTTTAATGAATCACAGTGAATTGGAACCTACTGATTCCAATGATTTGTAATTGAAAAAGTAAATTATGAAATGAATAACATTCAAGTCAAAATTGACGTAGGGCCTGGCATAAACGTATATTGGTCTGATACCAAACCATACAAGTAAGACTGTAGAGTGTTAACGACACGAATATCAAATAATTTGTGACAATGTTCTAGGAATGATAGCGAGTTCTTGGAGGCTCTCAGAAGAGGTAGTAACAGTATCAGTAATTGTAGAAAAGAGTGGGCATAGAAAATACAGTTCCAGAAAAAGAATATAAACCCGTGGGATAAAAAGGTATGAGACAGTTTTGGAACTCATGATCTAAGTGGCAACAACAACTGAATGCATCTACGCCATCTTGATTGATATGGAGGCACAACAACCATTGTAATGGCTTTGCTTCGTTAATCAATCACCTTTGTAAACGTCATTATATAAATCTTGACGGTATCTGAAATCAGAAGGCAATAAGAAGCGGCAACTACAGTTTGTTAGCGGATAGCACAGATAACAAAGCCATAGGCACACCAGACGAATTTGAAGCAGAGAGGCGAATATGTGTATGCGAGCAAATACAGAGGCAAATTTATAGTCAAATAGCATAAGGGGACAGCAAGGCAAAGCAAAGGCTAATAATAGGATTCGCGTACGTATATGCACGGGGAAGAGAATGAATCATTGAGAGATATTTAAGCTATCAATATTTTAGCTAGAGTCTGTCATGTGATCAAGTGTACACGTTTATACAGATGATAGTGATCATAATAGTACAAAGAAATATGCGAATTGTTACTGATCAAATAACATTTGTTAAGTAAGTTAACTGTGGTTACGATAAGCGCAAACCCTAACCACGTAGTCTGGACGTATTAACATGACTCAAACCAGCAGCCATTAACTTCAACCTAGATTTAATGCCCCAGTTTCCAACCTAACTTTACACCAGTCAACATTGCATATTGAGGCAGGTGGTGGTAGGATATACATCATACATGTCCTAACTAAATTAGTTGATTTGGATTTACAATCTTATCAATCAAATTGTTATCTTTCCCAAGTACCCTAGGCCTAAGCTCAGAAGTGCTCATTTGATCGTTCTACAATACGCTAGTAATATAATTCAAAGAAACTTATGATCGCAAATATTACTTGAAAGTGTTTTTATTCAAGTGAAGCTTGCATGTGTTACAGTACTACTATAAGCGAAATTGTTCCACAGAAAACTAGGGAAATGTACAGATCTATGTAAAAAAAGGTGTGTCGGATCGGGAGTTATTTTTTCTCTGGAGAGACGGCTTACAAAATATCGTAAAAAGCCAGAAAATAATTTCCCGGCTGTTTCACAAATACATATCAGTTACGATATCGAAAGAACTATGTTCTTAGTAACGCCTATTTCAAATACTTCCTTTGTTTCTAACTATCAGGCACAATCCCAGTTTTAACCAAATGTATTCAGTTAACATAAAGGTTTTAATCATGTACTAGAGTTAAAAAAATAAATCCAATATTTCTGTAATTTATCTTAACTAATAAGTTTTATACACAATACTTTTTTCACTTACCCCGTTGATACTAGTCTAAAAAACAAACAAAAATAATTGACAATCGACTAGAGTCGAAATACACTAAGATCGTGTGCATGGTCATATGAGACTATAGTCAGTCAGTCAGCTACAACGTAGGACCAGGCACATATATGCATCGGTCCAAGTTGCTATATCTCTTTAGCACAACAAGATGAACACCGGATTCATAGAAGCAATTAATTTAGTGATGGTAGTATATAAAGAAAGATTGTATAGAAGGATATAGTACAGGAAGGAAGAGAGATATGAAGCAATTTTAATCTCAAGGTTTAAGGGAAGATAAAGAGTGTATACACCTACGCCATTGTGATCGATTCTGAGCCATGTCACCTAGAGTCTCCAACCATTTATTACGATAGTCACGCGGACCCCAACCAGGTAGTCTGCATCTGCCAACATGGCTCAGGCTAGAAGTTAGTGACTTCAAACACTGATGCCATGTTTTGGTTTGGCCGCCCCTAACTCTCTTCCAACCGTCCCCAATACTAGTCATCATAGCGCGTCGTGGTAATCGGTGTTCAGGCATACGTAACACATGGCCCAACCATCTCAGTCGATGAAGATTTATCACCTCATCAACTGATTTACCATCGTTACCTAATACCCTGCGTCTAACCTCACTATTACTTATTCGGTGATCCCAGCAGATGCGAGCAATATTTCTAAGGCATCTGTGGTCAAATACTAGTAACCTACGAGTATCTTCTACTCTTAATGGCCATGTTTCGCAGCCGTAAAGTAGAACAGAGCGAACTGATGCGCAGTATACTCGTCCCTTAATTGATAGACGGATATCTCGTCTTCGCCATAGGTGACGTAAGTTGGCAAAAGCCAAACGAGCTTTTTGAATCCGTGCTGAGATTTCGTCAGACACCAACCCATTAGGGCTGATCAGACTTCCAAGATAAGTGAAGTTGTCAACGCGTAAGAAAGTTGTACACAACCATACACTTAAAGTATAAATAATTATTCTTGAGCAGCTTATGATTAAACAGATAGAAAATCAATATTACGACCCGATCAGTTGGTAATATATGTTTCATAGCAGACAGATAAGTAAATGCTAATGGTATGTCAAATGAAACTATGAGAATATAGTAATTTCAGATAGATTTGAACACATTAAAAGTATGTTCTCATATTTACCACCTATTCACACACACACACACTTGAACAGATATCGGCACAGCAAAATAAGCTGTTGACGTATGTGTTGTAATAACCATATGAGAATTGAAGCTATTAGTCAGATTAGTGATTAGATCTGCCAAACCAACTTTCAAGAAGCATTATCATAAAATTTGTTTTGTACAACCTCGAACTAGTGTTTTTTCCTGCTTAGTCTCCTATTGCTATATAAAGACTGTATTTTTCATCACTGTTAAAAACACACTTTTTCATTATTCATTGTTGGCATCGCAGTACGTCACATTGTAACTGTGTTTTCAACGTCATATAATATATCTACACATAATAAATGTACATCGACTAATCTTTCTTGGTAGGTTTATTGAGTTTTCTGGTCAAGAACGAATGTTTGCAATGGTCATTACTAAATATATTCCCCCTACTTATAAAGCTGTATTAAACTGAGGGCCCCCTCCATACTATAGGAAGAAATAATAAAATAACTTATACTTCACGTAGTAGCACTGACGATTATTGACGACACACAATCGAAACCTATTGAAACATACCCCTGGTGAGAAGACAAAGTATGGGAGAGGTTAACTTACTGAGTAGGGAAAACCGACATGTACACGACGAAATAGTCAATTAACATTTATTTTCATACAGAGAGTTGTCTTAAATCCAGAATATTCATATAATTACATACTGAGTGGTTGCGGACTTATGACGTAAGAACACTGAAATAACACTCATTTAAATACGCTGATAATGATTTGTACAGTTTGAAGTATAATATTCGTATAGCAGAGGCTGGTTATTGTATTCTGAACTCAACGGGCAGGGGGAGGTGAGAAGCTTCTTTATCGAGGACCGATAAGGATCCGGGGTCGATTCAAGGCTATTAGTGATGGTTGGTGTGTCATTGGTCAGCTCACGGATAAGGTTGTAGGAGTCGGCATTTTGATTGGCCGCTTTATCAAGTGATATTAAACAGGGCCATAGGTCACATGGTAGACCTTGAAAAATGTTTCACATGACTAACAGCCATTTTAATATAGACATTTCCTTAAACATGAAGAACTCCCGCAGCACATTCCATTTACAATTGGTTAAAATCATTGTTGTACAAGATTATTTTTCTTAATTCTATATGACAACACAATTTTCTGAGGCTTTAAAGGCAAAATGATTCCAAATCTTATGTAAAATTAATGTGGGTTTGTATATTGATAAAGTATTGATCGGCAGTTTATTAACACCAATTTGAAATACAATTGAGAACAACTATTAAAAATTATATACGGCTTCGTTCGAGTCTAATAGTTACAAAGAAAAACAACTTTAATTAAACATTACGCTAAGCATTATTCTGGTTCATACATTTAGGAATATGAATTCGAACTGTAAGCAGTGTCCGTAATAAGAGGATTCTAAAAACACAACGATGTAATTGTACAGCATACATTCACCATTAGCTGTTACAAAATATAAATGAAATAAAATTACCTTCCATACGGCTAGTTCAGGGTGTTGATTAAGCATTCTTGTCATTTTCGGTTGGTCACAGTCAACAATAGCTAACAACCAATCTTTCTGTTCTTGAGTCATCTGTTGATTAGATTAAAAGTAAAAAATAATGATCAAGTGAAAATTACGGGTTAGAAAAAATATTTAGTTGAAACGACAAGAAGTATGTACCTACGTGATACAATGGTAATCTACCATTTTAACTTAATAACGGTTAAATAATATAGTACATACCTTAACGAGCCAGTTTGTGGCTCGTTACGTATGCCCAACCACCGACTGCCCCGACGTGCAGCGTTTTATGGTGTAGGCGTAGGTTGGAAGAAAGCTAGGGGCGGCCAGACCAAAACGTGGCACAAATCCATGAAGTCACTGACAATTGGACTGAGCCATGTTGGTAGGTGCAGACTACCTGGTTGGGATTCGCGAGATGATAGCAATCGATGGTTAGAGACCTTGAATGATATGGCTCAAAATCGTTTGCAATGGCAAAGGTGCACCCACTCTCTGTACTCTGCCAAATTCTAATCTTCTGAATTCTTCATGTCCGTATCCTTTTTCTCTTCCCAAATTTATTTCCATTGGATTATACTTCTTCAATAATATCTTCAAACCCTAATCTTTCGGATTACTGCTTATACTCTAACTACTTCTACCACTATGGGATTTGAATCGACAACCACATCTCTGTGTTAATGTGGTATGGCAACTCGAACTGATGTATGTACATACGAAGTTCTACGTTGTGACTGACTGACTGAACGAGCCAGTTAATGGGATATAGGGAAATTGCTGTTCAGGTAAAATGAAACTTCGACTGAACAGTCAAAGAAAAATAACTGAACCTTAGTTGAAGAAACTTTTCACAGAACCAACCAGACACGCGGTATGAGTTCACTCTTTATTGTTTGACTTTACGCCGCAATGAAGGTAGAAAGCATGATACTATCTACAACGAGCACAGGCCACAGTCGATACTTATTTTGAGGCTAAGCACCATAATCAAGATTCTGATTGATAGGAAAGTCAATAAATTTGCCTCATTCAATTTCCATAACGACTAGCGACATATACCTTAAATCGTTCGTTACTTTTAACTTCTAAGATTCATGTCCATAACCAGTCTTAAATCAGAGATTCTGACGGCTGCTTTTTTAATCTAACATCTATATTCGATAACAACACAATGTGAAAGCAATTTATAAAAAAAACTGCAAATAATAACTACGGATTACGACTGTAAACACTTTAAAATGGGTCAGATTATAGTATAACGGCGCGGTGTGGAAGATAGTTTTATAATATTAGAATTTCAATCCATCATGAATGCTCAGTCAGATCCCCAGAAATGATGTAGTTCAGTGAATTGATGGGTTATCAGATATAATGCAAAATAGTATCCAGTAGCGTTCCTGCTTTTGTTTTTTAATACATCCATCATAACAATGAGGTAAGCTTTCTCACTTCAAAGAAATGTTTATTGGCTGTATTTTTAACTGAGCTGTATCACTTACTCACTACTATTTCTGATTATTTTTTACTGACCATACTAACCTTCTTGTTATATCACGTGGTGAATTATGAATGGTAAATCTGAGGTCTATTATCGACCAATGTATTATGCCTATTTCTTATTGTACAGTTGTTACGTAACTAAATTATTCGTATTCGTTTTCTCTTATCATGAGCTTTATTTTGATCTTTGATTTATTATCATACGATTCTTGAGTTATACTCAGTTATTGATTACTTTGGTTTGTATAAAAACCCATTATGTTTGTAAATAATGATTCATACCACTGAGGCTGTTATTTGTGTTCTGGACTTAATTGGCTGGGCTAGGCAGATCACAGGACCGGTTAGCACTCTAGTCTGCTCGTACGGGTTTCGTGTCACTGTTCTAGTCGATAATTCGCTGCTCCCTGTTAGGCGGTTCTATCGAGCCACACATCAACTAACCATCCACTCGGCCACAGATATAACAAATTGGCGACGGGGACAAAAAAGGTCAGTTTGTAATTGTTCGAAAATCAGGCAATCATTTGGTGCAATCAGCATCCAACATTCTCTTTGGTGTCCGTGAATGCCATTTTGTCATTATTCATACAGTGAAAAATGATGCTCCCTTCCGACCGATTACAGTTGCTATTTGACCGACATTTGGAGTTCATGGTCAAACTACGCACACAGCTTCTGGATCACCAATTCTTTGCATATGCGTCGGAAGTGGATGGATTAATCACAGAATTTCACGCAAAGTTGGAAAATGATCGCAGCCTCCATGAATCCTCGACCAGCCGCAACTCAAACGAAACAGCAGTCTCGCAGAAGACGCCCGGTTGTCCATCACTACCCATTTCAGAAACGTGCCCGGTAGTGGATTCAAACCCCACTATCCCTGAATTAGCAGGTCCGAACAGTGACGCTTCCAGCTCTCATCAACTTGATGCCATGTCAAATGCCCATGAAATGGTCGTACCAACCGCCCAAAAAGTACCAGATATAATATCGAGCAGTACACGGAGCGAATCGCATTCTGCAATAGAAATTTTTACCGAATCTAATGATAAAGATTCCCAATCTTGTCCAGAAAATTTGTTACATGCATCAAATCTGGAATCTAGCGCAGTTTTGGTGGACGCTGTTTATCATAGTGATCCACAACCTGCCAGTGATGTTTGCAATAAGTCTAATGACTACATTTCTGCAGAATCAAATTCTGACCTCACATCAAATGCCGATCCTCACCATCCAGTCAATCTTAGCAGGTTCCCTATTGAATGCCAGAAACATGTTATAAATACAATCGCATTAATAGAAACTTGGGTATATGAGGATTCAACACTATTTCGTGGGGGAGGAGGAGCTCGAATTTCTCAAAAAGGGGAGGTGTTATATCACGTGGTGAATTATGAATGGTAAATCTGAGGTCTATTATCGACCAATGTATTATGCCTATTTCTTATTGTACAGTTGTTACGTAACTAAATTATTCGTATTCGTTTTCTCTTATCATGAGCTTTATTTTGATCTTTGATTTATTATCATACGATTCTTGAGTTATACTCAGTTATTGATTACTTTGGTTTGTATAAAAACCCATTATGTTTGTAAATAATGATTCATACCACTGAGGCTGTTATTTGTGTTCTGGACTTAATTGGCTGGGCTAGGCAGATCACAGGACCGGTTAGCACTCTAGTCTGCTCGTACGGGTTTCGTGTCACTGTTCTAGTCGATAATTCGCTGCTCCCTGTTAGGCGGTTCTATCGAGCCACACATCAACTAACCATCCACTCGGCCACAGATATAACAAATTGGCGACGGGGACAAAAAAGGTCAGTTTGTAATTGTTCGAAAATCAGGCAATCATTTGGTGCAATCAGCATCCAACATTCTCTTTGGTGTCCGTGAATGCCATTTTGTCATTATTCATACAGTGAAAAATGATGCTCCCTTCCGACCGATTACAGTTGCTATTTGACCGACATTTGGAGTTCATGGTCAAACTACGCACACAGCTTCTGGATCACCAATTCTTTGCATATGCGTCGGAAGTGGATGGATTAATCACAGAATTTCACGCAAAGTTGGAAAATGATCGCAGCCTCCATGAATCCTCGACCAGCCGCAACTCAAACGAAACAGCAGTCTCGCAGAAGACGCCCGGTTGTCCATCACTACCCATTTCAGAAACGTGCCCGGTAGTGGATTCAAACCCCACTATCCCTGAATTAGCAGGTCCGAACAGTGACGCTTCCAGCTCTCATCAACTTGATGCCATGTCAAATGCCCATGAAATGGTCGTACCAACCGCCCAAAAAGTACCAGATATAATATCGAGCAGTACACGGAGCGAATCGCATTCTGCAATAGAAATTTTTACCGAATCTAATGATAAAGATTCCCAATCTTGTCCAGAAAATTTGTTACATGCATCAAATCTGGAATCTAGCGCAGTTTTGGTGGACGCTGTTTATCATAGTGATCCACAACCTGCCAGTGATGTTTGCAATAAGTCTAATGACTACATTTCTGCAGAATCAAATTCTGACCTCACATCAAATGCCGATCCTCACCATCCAGTCAATCTTAGCAGGTTCCCTATTGAATGCCAGAAACATGTTATAAATACAATCGCATTAATAGAAACTTGGGTATATGAGGATTCAACACTATTTCGTGGGGGAGGAGGAGCTCGAATTTCTCAAAAAGGGGAGGTGTTATATCACGTGGTGAATTATGAATGGTAAATCTGAGGTCTATTATCGACCAATGTATTATGCCTATTTCTTATTGTACAGTTGTTACGTAACTAAATTATTCGTATTCGTTTTCTCTTATCATGAGCTTTATTTTGATCTTTGATTTATTATCATACGATTCTTGAGTTATACTCAGTTATTGATTACTTTGGTTTGTATAAAAACCCATTATGTTTGTAAATAATGATTCATACCACTGAGGCTGTTATTTGTGTTCTGGACTTAATTGGCTGGGCTAGGCAGATCACAGGACCGGTTAGCACTCTAGTCTGCTCGTACGGGTTTCGTGTCACTGTTCTAGTCGATAATTCGCTGCTCCCTGTTAGGCGGTTCTATCGAGCCACACATCAACTACCCATCTACTCGGCCACAAGATATAACACTTCTCTCCCTTGTTTCCTAACAAAATGTTTGCTTCAGGATTTATGTGATTTCAGACATTTGATAAAGGATCAGTAATGAATGGATATATATGGTAAATAAACATAGTCTATGGTCAGAAACTTACCGGGAGGAAAGAAGTGGAATTCTACACCAGAAAAAGAGCATCATTACTATAACTTTACGAACTTACTAGTTCGAGACAAATGATTATATTTGCCTTGACGTAGTGTAAAAATCAAGAAAACAGAAATGTAGGTTGCGGGAGACACGTAAATAGTTACAATGTAACATTGAAATTTCTAATATATGGAATAGGATCAAATTAATGTTATGAGATAATGGATAGTTTACTTCATTGTCTTCTGTTTTTTTCCTTTAACCCAAGCCCATCAGACAAATGTTCCATGAACCCGAGACTGCCTAATTTTATTTACAATACAAACTTGATATGTTGACACTAGAACATAACTTGATACACTTAATATAACCAAACTTTTCATATTTAATCTCATATAGTGTTGACCTTGAATACTAAACTTGTAAGACATGAGGGATTACAAGAAGAATCTCAAATGCAAATGATTTTTAACAAATATAAACTTTGATGGAAGAGAGTTTCCAAAAGATGAAGCTTAGTACGGCAGAAGAGAGTTAATAATGGGTGACTTATATTTGAACAATAGAATAAAGATGAAACAAAGAAAGCAATTTATTTCTCCCCATCTACCCGGAGTTAACAAGGATGCGCAAATACGAAAGGAATCTATACCTACAAGGAACACAACCGACTAAAAGCTACTGTTTACACACAACATTTGGCGGTGAAATTCTGTAACTTTCCAACTACTTAATACTACTGAACAGGATTTTTCATTGTTTTGTATGTCGATTTTTATAACGATCCAAGCCTCAAAGTATTTTCCTTCATCTTGTTAACATTTATTTAACTACTAACAGATATGACGACCTGTACCGGCCCATTACTTCTCTTCAATTTTCGTTCATTTTATTTTGCTTTTATCTCCTCAATTAGATATAGTGTTATTAGTACTATCGATTTCAATAGAATGAAACATGTGTCAGCTTAGTATAAGCTAGAACATGTAACAATGCATAAAACAGGGGACCGTTTTTGTTTAGGATACCAGTGCCAGAATGCTTCAGAAGTGTACAAACGAACGTATTACGAACACGAAACCACATTTAACTTGAACCTAGAAAAATCTAACAAGTGCCTTCACACTATTTTATTAAAAGATTTCTCGCGACTTAATACATGCATATTTATTAGTTAAGCTCACCTTTGTTACGAATTCAAAGCAGAACTACATGTTAGTAAATATAAATCTATATTTCAGTAGTACTATAATATTTAAGTATTAATAAGCCTTACTTACTTACTTACTTTCGCCTGTTACTCCCAATGGAGCATAGGCCGCCGACCAGCTTTCTCCAACCCACTCTGTCCTGGGCCTTCTTTTCTAGTTCTCTCCAGTTCTTGTTCATTCTTCTCATGTCTGTCTCTATTTCTCGGCGTAATGTGTTCTTTGGTCTTCCTCTGCTCCTTCGACCTTCAGGATTCCATGTGAGGGCTTGTCTTGTGACACAATTGGGTGATTTCCTCAAAGTGTGCCCAATCCACTTCCAGCGCTTCTTCCTGATTTCTTCCTCCGCTGGAATCTGGTTTGTTCGCTCCCACAGTAACTTGTTGCTGATAGTGTCTGGCCATCGGATCCGAAGTATCTTGCGTAGACAGCTGTTAATAAACACTTGTATCTTCTGGATAATGGCTTTCGTAGTTCTCCACGTCTCTGCCCCATACAGAAGAACTGTCTTGACATTTGTATTGAAAATTCTAACCTTGGTGTTGGTTGACAATTGTTTTGAGCTCCAGATGTTGTTCAGCTGTAGGTATGCTGCTCTTGCTTTGCCGATCCTCGCCCTCACATCTGCATCTGATCCACCGTGTTCATCAATGATGCTGCCCAGATATGTAAAGATTTCCACATCCTCCAAAGCTTCTCCGTCAAGTGTAATTGGATTGGTGCATATTGTATTGTATCGGAGAGTCTTGCTTTTCCCTTTGTTTATATTGAGACCTACTGCTGCTGAGGCTGCTGCTACACTGGTCGTTTTCATTAATAAGCCTGTTGAAGGAAAATTATGTTCGATCTGCCAAGACACGGAACTGAGATGTCAGGAGGAAAAGCACTTGGATGAATGCTACATAATTATGTAGTCTGCTGAATATATTCTAATTTCCTTGAATAAAGCCGGGTTATAAGAGACAATATCCAAGCTATAAACATTCAACCTTGACAAGCTGCAAAAAGATGAAGCCTGTGAATTAAGGGTCTAAGTGGATAAAAGTGAGAGGTAAGAGAGGAGGTTATAAATGAGGTGTATTCAATAATATCAGTGGGAAAAGCTTATAACAAAATCAAACTTACTATACTATTGCTTCCGCTCCCATCATCTAAAAACGGTACCGTTATAACCATATTTTTCTAGTTGTAAAACTTATCAGATAATAAACTTGAAAGTGTTCGGGGTAAAAATGCTACATCTATGTGGTTTCGCTAAAAATTAACATATCAATGAAAAAATTGTCACTTTAACTGTCCACGATTATGAAATAGATGAAACGATATAATCTGACATTACGGAAATTAAGAGAACGACAAAGAGTCAACTAAGCTTTATTTCATCCAAAAGAGCTATAGTGTGTTTTATGCTTGAATGAAACATTAAAACCGGTCAGTTAGTCACAAACAACGCAGAACTTGGCCCAAATTACTACACCATATCAACAGGACAAGATGGAATAGCCAAGACGAATACTATAATAGCATCACCGATATGGAGAACGACTATGCACGAAGATGGATTATGTTGGAGAATCAACAGTCAGCAAATTCATGTGCTAACGCCACAACTTGGCTCGACTCTTCCCATTTCTTTTTGACTAAACCGGTGCACAGTATTCTCCTTCAGAAGGATGACAAAATGTCCAAAGATTAGGCCTAACAGTCAGGTTTGAATTGATTAGAGAACACATGACCCACAAGATAGTTTCCTCTAGTCTTCCATAACATTTTATTATGTTCACTTTGTGCTCATATCTCACATACAAGAATGTTATCTTATTACATGAAAAATTCATCTGGTTAGTGGTTTTGTCTTTGGCTTCTAATCATTCGCGGGATTAAGTCAATTTTATAATCCTATAAGTACCCATGTCGACTTCAACGTTCACGGTAAGGCAACGTTTCTGTAATTACTCACTATTCTTAATCGCTTATCACAAGTTATAATCCTAGAATTCTTACGCTAACATCCCTAACCCCAGTTACCCGAATCTTAGGATTCCTAACCGTAAAAATTTTAACTCAGCCTATGAGCACATGCCCCTAAAATCTGGCTAGTCACAAATCCTGGTTTTGGCAATGCGTTTGATCTTTACTTTTCTGTTCATTTACCATGCTGAAACTACTAATCTCATAATTTCACCACTTTTTTAAGATATTGAAACTAAAACGTGTTCTCATATTGCCTAATAAATTGTTTGAAATAGCCGCCGTAATATAGTCCCACTGAAATTTACTGATGTATAAGCATAGAACAACAGACCTTCTACCGTAACGTAAAAAGCATTCCTCCCGGCATAATTTCGTCACTCAATGCCCAATACTGTCGTAAAAGTCAAATTATTCATCTTTTTGAATAAAAAGCCGAGACTTGATACTGTTGATTAACTCCACAAATTTTTCAGGCGTTACTTTTACAAAGTATGAATGATTTACTTAATAAGTAGACAAAGTGAAGTTGTGTTTGTTGGAGCCTGTATTATGCTTTCACTCAGAATTGTTTGACCATTTGTTCCGTTTCTTACGTCAACCATAATAGCTTCTTCATCTGCGTTGGATTTGAAAGGCTACGTTCTCTGGATTGCTAGTCGACTGTGCCAATTGTTCTGCATCTATCCATTGAGTATGTGTTGCACATGATTCTTTATCAGGTTAACTATCATCTTTGCCTTTTGTTGGTTTGGAATAATTAACGATGGTCGTTTGATGATACTCATGGACTATGCACTCTATATAACTCTGTTTACCTTCTGCTTATAAATAACGGTAATGCAATGTTGAAATAAAGTCGAATACAGGTTGTGTTTGGGTAATTTATATTTCAGGAATATGTTGAAGCTATTAGACTGATAAAGTGGATGCGAAAATTGTATACATCCGGATGAGTGAAAAATTAAAATTTTGACTGGAATGTTTAGGTTTAAGTCGTCTTTGTATGAATACACAATCCATAAAACACTGCCTCGTAAATGTACAGCCATTTGGTAAGAAAAAACCAGTTTTCGAACCTACACATGTCAAGCGCTGGAGATTTCAAGCATAAGTAATGAATGATTATTAGGTGCAAATATAAGATTGGGAGAATAACTGGACAGACGTTAAAAGAAATCTGCACATGTCACTGCAGCGTCACTACAACAGAGAAGCTGAAGAATCAGGCGTGACACTTCCAGTTATTAGTTCTAAGGATGAGAAGAGTATTTGGAGTTTGACAATAACTCAACTAGTAACTCCTTGTATCCCCGTACGTGCCAAACCATTCAAATCTGTAGTCTGAAGCGAAGAGGTTTGAAGATATATCTGATAGGTTATCGATGTATCGAGAAGTAAATAATCTAAACTAGCTAGCAGTCGTAGGGGATGCGTGGCACGGCGTCCCCATTCGTGGTCTGGTTCGAACACATGACCAAGCGCCTCCGTCTAAGTGAGTCTAGTAAAACTAATCCGGTCAGCATCTAATATCGAAGTTTTACAGAGCTATTGATTTTAGGGAATCATTTACTGCTGAAGTTTGACTCATCATATTAAGCCACAATAATGGGGTCCATATAGCTAACAAGAGAAAAATAATAGAGATAAAATAACATGAATTATTCCAGGGGAGAGAGCTTCTGTACTTCATCAACCGTTTCTCCTGGCATTCTATCAATGAGGCTTAGTTCACACCATCTGTTGATTTATTCCAGATGGCATAAAGTCGTGGCTCAGAAAAGAAATAACGTACATAAGCGTTGCTCCGTGCCGAAGGTTGTTGAAGTTTACTATGAATTTGAAATAACGGAACAGAATTAATCCTGATATATCCTACAAGTTCAACAATATACAATCAGGAACTAAAATTAAAAGCACACAGTATGGTATTTTATTGTGTTATTACAACAAATTGTAGATGGCGTGGAGTGGCGACTGACTATAATCACCACTTCAAGAAGATTACGTACGAGTTATCGAGGTGGGTCCCAAGGTAGGCCAAAAACTCAAAGGCTGTTTACGGTTGAAATAAGATATATTTGCTGACGGTTTCGTGGGATCGCAAGAATATCGAGACGTACCAAAGTTTACAAGCGGAACAGCCAAGCGGAAGTGAGTTCGTGCACGTTCACAGGCAAAGGAAGGAAAAGTGCCTTTTGTACACTTAAAAAGAAGCACAGGAGAACAATCACTGGAACAATCGGTTATAATAATAATTGTTTCCATTATACCTATCGCGTTCTCGTCACAAAAGTAAGTCACTACAAGTTAATAACACAACATGAAATATTTAACTGTACTGTGCGTTTATTGATTATTCACCATCGCGTCTTTCAAGATTTCGAAAATAACCTACTGATAGAATTGCACTTTCAGAATAATCTGATTAATATATGTTGTGAACTGAAATAGAGTCACCTGCTTCCCCATATATTTCTTACAGCCAAAAAGTATAGCTAGAGAAACTTCTATCGTTCACATTCCAACCCTCACTTTTGAAGCGTTTTACACTTAACGATTCTGTACTTTCTGCATACGTTTCACATTCCTTTGTAGATGTAATAAAGGTATAATGCCGCACTTTTTAAACGTTTCTGTAGACTAGTAACAAGAGATTGGTCGTTTTGATGGAGTTCATCCAGCAGCATTGGAACTGAATAACCTAAACCTTGATAATTTATGGTGTAGTTATCCGAAATATTATGTATAGAAAAGGTACAGTGATAACATTGTGCCAGTCAATTATCCACACTATAAGTTTGAAGGTGATTAGAATCATACGGAAAAGATGTCTGCAATATGAGAAGGCTTAGGGCAGATAACGAAAAAGACATATCCACCAACTGAAACTGCGGCTTGTTTTATACGTTAATTCAATTGTTTAGCGATTGTTTCATCAGACAGTATAGCATTTTCTAATGTACCCTCATTGCTGAGGGAAAATCCCTCATGAGAGTAGAATTAAAGGTTCGAAAAGTTGGAATTACTGTGGTAACCCAGAGGTAAATCCCATTTTACTGCTACAAATTAGGATGAGTTCACCTATGACCGACTCTCATAACGTTTGACTTCGAGATGAAAAATCTTTTTTTAGTAGGTCTTAGCACTTTCTAAAACTGATTAACAGAACTCTTTTTGGAGGAATTTAGCGATATTGTGAGCCGGTAAGTAATAATTACGTTTTGTTGGTCGTTGTGGATTACCGGATTTTAATCGATAGAGGCCAAATAAAAATAACACCCAGCTTCTCCTATTCAGCAAATAGTTATTGTGTTTAGTCAGAGTTGCAGTGTGCTCTTTCTACATCTGGAAGTATATGACCAGCAACAAAACAAGAGGAATCAATGTAACAGCTGAGGATCAGACAAGATGTAAAAGACCTTCTGGGACCGCTCTAGGACCAACTTGTAACTACTCCTCTTTTGTTTTACTTGTGTGGCCATATTTTGTCTGTTCTCATTTGTCTTTTACAGTTCTCTTCAGAATGCGTTAACTAATATTTGACAAGAAATACTTAGAAGGAAGATAAATGCCGGGATATTTGTGTTCACATGATAAAGAGAGAACTTTGGACTTAGGTACAAAATGTTCTTCACTATCGATATATATCGAAACCAAAATGTCAGATCGATAACGATTCGCTATAATTACGTGGCAGAAATGCGTTATTCTACAATTCTGGACAACGAAGGAAGAGGATGCTACAAGTTCTAGAAGAATGATCTTTAGTTTGTAGTACTAGGGATAACACTACCTGTAGCACTTCTAGAGTTTCTGCTCGTCCCAAGCCAGGGTAAAGGAAGAGGATTGGGCATGAGGCTAGCAACCCCACCCCATACGAAACGTTCTTGCTAAAAAAAACTGCAAAAAGATTAAACAAATTATATCATTTGAACTCTGACTTCCGAGTTCAAGGAAAAATCATGATGTCTCAGGATGAAAGCTGAGATACTCGGAAAGTCATGAGACCGATCCTCTTTCTAACAACCGGAGCAACAATTTTCATAGGTACATGAAACGTTCGGACAGTGTGGGAGACCGGAACGACCAGTCAAATAGCAACGGAAATGAGGAGATACAAACTGACAGTACATTGAATCAACGAAACCCGTCAATGATAGCAACGACGACGATAAAAATCAGTTCGACCTGAGGCTGCAGTC